GAATACTCAGTTAGCACTATATATCCCCATTATAACCCCAAAGATTATACTACTACTACTGTAATGCTAATTTCACCCTGATTTATTTTATACCAGAAACCACGTGTTCTCTTTCACTCGGTACTATGGATATCGCAACCCTTCGGCCCTGACTCGGTGATAGATACCGTAAATTTGGGAGAAATCTGGCTTTTCTGCCTACCCCTGGGCGTGAACCCGGACCACGAGTTGTTCGTCACCCGTCGCCACGCAGTCAGGTTTAACTAACTGAGCTAGCGAGCCGGGTGACCTGACCTATAAAACTGCGGATAAATTTACGAACGTACAAAATTGTTTGCGAACGCTGCTCACATTTACTGCCCTATCGAGGCTCTATTTCGACTTTTACTTCCAAAGTGTTTTTCTATCTTTCTACTTTTTTCTACAAGTGCCAATCAATACATTGTCTGTTTCTGACATTCAACAGCATAAACTGCTGGGCTATTCAACTGGCGGCCCGCGGAAGCCTAGCAAGTGGCCCGCAGATCTTTGACAGCACTATTATGTTAATGATCTGTCTATGCTAGGGCTCAGACCTCTGGACCATGACGATCCCCATTTTCAGACTTTTGACCCCTGAATAAACTGAGATGAGTAGATAAAGGATTCCATGACGTGAAAGCCCCACCCGAGTACCTGGGTAGTTGGCAACGAGATTCTGTGAGCATTACCGCAGTTCCATCTAATGAAAAAGTCTATAGATAATATATGTTAAGTGTGTATACAATGTTACTGTTATTGTTGCGGACTATGTCTTTCCTCTTCAGTATTGAAGACGACCTTAAGCCCTTTGAGCCTGAGGATCATAGGCCGAATGGCTAGTACAGGTTAGAATCTCTTTCTCCTCTTCTGTGTTTATCCGAAGAGGTAAATGCGTTTCGCCCGTTTACAACATGGTTGCCATATGTGTGCCCTCGACCGAGACATCCGACTTCTACAGGCTTTTGTTGCCCGGGTTACCTTCCCGGAGTTCAGATTTATTTATTTATGTCCGAAGCAACGGAGCGAATCTGAAGCAGCCGATTTCAGTATTTAGCAAAGTTATTACGGCAACAGTGGACTGAGTTATGACAAACCTTGAAAAAGAGCCGCTTCTCACTTGAGTGTATTTATAATATAATAGTTCAAGGACATTAGCGCAGTAGTTGATGCTGTGTTTGATAGAACGATTTATCCCACTTCTGTTGGTAAAGAAATCGTTGATACTAGCCACAGCAGACCAGTGGCGCTGGCACAAAAGCATCGGCGTCAGACCAGCTCGCTTACAGATTTTATAGGGGCCTTAAGGGGGAGGGAGCTACGCCTTGTTTGAGTACGTAAAAATAATAGCGGTAATGTGTTTAATGAAAGATAAATATAATAATATATTTTACATAATGCAAAATATACACATATACTTAAAAAGAAAACTTCTAAATATGATTAGGGGCCTCCCAGCCCATTACATATTAGGGAAAAGAGCGCTCAAAGGACCAGAGTTTCCGGCTACAGATCCCACTTCGTTGACTAACTACGAACCGGCGGTAGTATCGGACATATGTTACTGCCATTTTATCCGTTAAAATAAGTACCTTAAAATGGTTGGTTAGTTCACAGCCTCCTATAGCTTGTTATCTTTCTCTTTCTCCCGGGAGACTCGGTTAGTTAAATAGTTGGTGGAGTTACTCACGGGACGCCCAGCAGACGGGTTGCCCCATAGCTGTCTCGTTCCCTTAGAAATCATACATGTCCTTCGCCGAGACAGACGCAAGTCGCAAACTTACTAGAACAGTTAGACGTAGACAGTTTATATATATATATATATATATATATATATATATATATATATATATATGACACAAGCAAAGAAATAGACTCGAGGACTGGGAAACAACTAACAAGATTGACGAAAAGAGAGCAAGAGGAAGGCAGAGAGATAAATACATGGATGGCGTTGCCCGATTGATGGAGCGGGGAAAACATTGCATTGATCCGTGATTCTGGAAAGCATGTGAGATGACAAAACGTGACCGCCTATACTTACCGGCACTGTTGCTGTCAATGCAGAGGTCAACGCTCTCATCAGTAAAAATTCAGACGAGGCAGATGATTTGATCTACACTGATGGTTCCGTTACGCCAACAAAGAAGCGCATGAGCGTTCACAGCACGCTCAGCGGGTAGAACAATCAAAGAAGCCAACGGCGCCTTCTCCATGACAACCAGTAACATGAAGATTGAAGCGTTCGTATGGCTCGACACACAAAACTACACGCGCTCATGTGTGTACTCAGTAATTCATTGAGTATGTTCCGGAGGGCTCAGGCAGATTTGGTGCGACGGTAATGGCTTGCTTGAATCATTACAGAAGTCACCTCTATTTTCGTTGCGGGATACGCAGGCGTCCATGGAAATGAAAGCGCTGCAAGTTGGCTGAATCCGCTATAACTACTGACAGTCAACCTATGGATCATGCTAGTATTATTAGTACCCTTCGAGAAATGGGAAGGGTGGAGGAGCTTGGGTGCAGTTAATCCACAGCACTCGCCAGAATAATAGACTTGGGAGTTGAGATCGACGAAAACAAAACACGAGACGCACACCAGGCACATTAGAGGACTTATTTAATCAACATAGAACTGGTACTAATAGCCACCGGACGCTGGGGTTCATACTGAGGGGAGGATCTGAGCACCTAGTGACATGACCGGAGTGGAGTGATGATAACCCAACTAACGAACGTACTAGCACGGCACATGATAATGCTGTATTGTAGACAGGGAAATCCGGCTCTTGCTCCAGGAGGTCGTCGTCAGACTTTATCAATCGCGTACTTCCGTTCTAGGAAATAAAAAGGAGGGAACTCTACGCCGTAATCTATAAATAACTACCTATCAGGGGCGGAGAATGTTGGCACTTAGGGAGTTTTTATCGAACCCTTTCATATTGCTAAACTAGCCATCTTCGTCATTGACTTTACCGTTTCGGAAGGTGAAAGGACGGTATTGTGTTTAGCTGGATTTATTTTTGCATACTTTCTGGGAGTAAGTGAAGAACTTTTTTTTTTTAAAGAACAAGATACAACCGAGAAGACGGGGGTTTAGGATTCTGTTTGCATTTGTTCTTGACGAAGACTTCAGCCGAAACGTTCGTTCGTGTGTGTCTGTATATATGTGCGTCTCTCTCTCTCTCTCTCTCTCTCTCTCTCTCTCTCTCTCTCTCTCTCTCTCTCTCTCTCTCTCTCTCTCTCTCTCTCTCTCTCTCTTTCTCTCTCTCTCTCTCTCATATATTTATATATATCATCCCCATATGGGTTCTGGAGCCCTCACAGTGGAGGAAACAAGAAGAGACCCACTGCCCCCACAACAAGCATGTCGTAGGGGTCGACTGATTGGGGGCCGGAGTACACCTAACTGAGAGGCAGGGAACCACAAGTCTGCACCCAAATAAGCCAGATGTGTGAAACATATGTGCACGCAACACTCAGATTCTGGAGCGACAAAATTCCCGAGAACATTCCTCCAGAATTAATGTACAGCCAGTAAATGCAAAAAAAAGATTATATATATATATTTCTCCTTTTTTCTCTTTGTCCCTAAATCCAGCACTCCTTTTGGACACATTCCTTTTGCGCTCTCTGTCTCTCTCTCACTCTTCCTCTCTGTCTGTCTCTCTCTCTCTCTCTCTGAGCTCTCCCCCTCCCTCTCTCTCTCTATGTCATTCCTTCTCTCCATTTAAGCTTCATAGACATAGTATTTTTGTTCTGAAGTGGTCAGTCCGTTTTCCTCGAGTTTGAAGGTCGTGGGTTAGTTTTGCAGGCGCTTCGTTCAGTTCAAAAGTGAAGTTTTAGGGAAGTCACCGGAGCTACGGAATTCATGCTTTGTCTGACCTTAACGGCGGGCGGCTAGCCGTTCCGCGGAGAGAGACTCGAACTATATGAGGTAACCTGGTGCAGTTAGGTCTTAGCTTGTGTTTATTGTTTGTACACCCCTCCCTACCCAGGTCTGCATTGTGAAAGAAAACATCAGTGACCTGGTACTGCCGGTATTGGCACTAGTACCATGTTCATTTCAACCCATTGGCTCTTGATGGGTGATGAGGTCAGCATCATTTGGGCCGTCTTTACTACCTAGGACATTTTCTATGACCTATTCTAGGCTGGAAAGTAAAGTTGGGGGCGTAAATAAAATAAATCTACTCATGTAGGAATTACAGTTCACAAATGCTGACCATGTCAACCCCAGACCAGTGCTTGTCACATAAAAGTAAAAAACATGTATGAAATTAGTTTTAAATTTGTTTAGTTATTTTGAAATATATATGTATATATATATATATATATATATATATATATATATATGTTTACAAAGGTTAGTTGCGTATCCTTTACAGGACGTTGCAGAACCAACCCTAGCAGCCCCTGGCTGTTGTGTGGTTTCTCTAGGCAAATTTACGTCCAGTAGTTTGCCAGTGCTTTCAGGACGGTCGGCCCCCTAATGCCACTGTTGAAACCAATGCAAGGCGCATGGCCCGCAGCTGGGATATATATATATATTTTTTTAAAAACAAAACTCTGTTTTTTTAGGGCATTGATGAGGGTCTTTACCCTGGTGATTTAGGGACACATTGCTAGCACATTTGCCACATACTGTATTTGTTAGGATGTTTATTTTTTTTGTTCCTGGGTGAAAAACATCTATCACTTTATCCACAATTCAGTTCTTGGTCTATTACATAAGAGCCTGGTGTTTTACCCACTTAGGGACACATTGCTAGCACATCTGCCACATACTGTATTTGTTAGGATGTTTATTTTTTTGTTCCTGAGTGAAAAACATCTATCACTTTATCCACAATTCAGTTCTTGGTCTACTACATAAGAGCCTGGTGTTGTACCCACTTGGCCAGTCGCCTTTCAATGTATTGTTAATTTTGGTTGATTCAGCACATTGTGGGAAAGGCCTTAAACTGTATCTTCTGTAGAAACAACCGACCAGGACAGAGTACTGGCAAAGAGACACTTCCTCAGCAGATCCAGTACGTGCTCAGTCAGCAAATTCGCAGCAGTGTGAGGCTGACGGTTAGACTCGAACCAGATGAGAAAACTGTCAGTATGGCTGATGGGTTCACAGCTGCAGCTCCTGGGATGGAATCTGTGGAGCAGCATATCGACGCTGATGATCAGGGTCTGGAGGCTGTCAGACAGGAAGAGCAAATGATAATACATGGTCAGGATGTCCCACCAGTAGGAGCTATGGCAGTATGTATCCTTTTTTCCCCTTCTTCTTTGTCTTTCTCCTCCTAACTCATCATCATCCTGTTCATCCTCCTCCTCTTTCTAATCCTGCTACTTCTCCTCCTCCTCCTCCTCTGTCCCTCCTCCACCTTTTCTTCCTCCTACATCTCCTCTTTCTGCTTCTTCTCCTGCTCTTGTTCTCATCCCCATCATCATCTTTCTCCTCCTCTTCTTGCTTCTGCTGCTTCTCCTCATCCCTTTTCCCACTAGTGCACCTCCTTCTCCTTCTTTCTCTTCCTGCTCCTACTAAGTTACCTTGTCCATTACATATCATATTTTGTACTCAGGCAATAACTCTGATGCATGTCACATGCTTTATACAACATTTAGTCAACATTTACTTCAGTTTGCCACATCAGTCTGCACAGTTTTGTACAAATAAAAGAACTTGGTTGGAAGTTTATGTTAGCCCTGGTAAATCAATCAGTTAGGAGCCATATCCACAATTAAGGTTGGCTGCAATGAATCTCCATCACACTGTATATTTCACCCTGGATGTACACTCTCAGGCTGCTGTTTGTCCGTCTCTTGATGTTATCCTCCCAGTTGTATAGCTGTTTTCTTTTTCCCTGCTTATCTTTAACATTTCCCTCCTGAATAATTTTTATAAAAGTGTTGTTTTTAATATGATTCTTTAAATTAATTCAAAGCCTTGTAAAACAGGCAGGTAAATTTGATTGTGGTGAATGTTTGTGCTTTAGTTTGAAAATTTGACTCATTTGTTTCATCTTGTTTCTTTCTTCACCTTCTTCCTCCTCCTCCTCTTCTTCTTTTTCTTAAAAGAGCATTTGGGATATTTTGGTTTACAACCAGGTTGCCAAATTTGCGCCTATCCTCTCAATACATCCAATTTTAACTAACTTCTAATTAGTGGCATTTGATGACAAGCTTGTTAAGGGACACTCCTCTTCTCCTGGCTGTGGAAAGCACACAGGGAGATTCAGCTTGTATAATTGTGTAGTATGTATTGGACAGAGCGGCGTCCGCGTCTTAGGCGTTGCGAGTACCGCGATCGAAACCCACTGCTGGCTGCGTTGATTTTTCTCGTGTAATGGGGCGTCGCAGGTTGACCCAGACTAAAATGGGTGCCAGGATGTATGTCCTGGGGAAGTAAAGGCGGCCAGCCTAATGTTGACCACATTATTCACCTAGTGCATATTGGTCTGTAAAACTGTGGATGCTCTTCCCATATGCCCGATGTGCCTAAAGGCGTGAAATGAGATCTTGACTTGACTTGACTTGACTTTATGTATTGGATGAAGTGACAGGTTGGGGGCAGACAAGCCATGGACATGGCTGATATTCTGAATGCTCTACGAGAAGTAAGACATTTGCGAGAACCAAGTGATGAGTGAATCTGCAACCATGATCAGACTGAGAGAACCAAGTGATGAGTGAATCTGCAACCATGATCAGACTGAGAGAACCAAGTGATGAGTGAATCTGCAACCATGATCAGACTGAGAGAACCAAGTGATGAGTGAATCTGCAACCATGATCAGACTGAGAGAACCAAGTGATGAGTGAATCTGCAACCATTATCAGACTGCGAGAACCAAGTGATGAGTGAATCTGCAACCATTATCAGACTGCGAGAACCAAGTGATGACTGAATCAGCAACCATGATCAGACTGCGAGAACCAAGTGATGAGTGAATCTGCAACCATGATCAGACTGCGAGAACCAAGTGATGAGTGAATCTGCAACCATGATCAGACTGAGAGAACCAAGTGATGAGTGAATCTGCAACCATGATCAGACTGAGAGAACCAAGTGATGAGTGAATCTGCAACCATGATCAGACTGAGAGAACCAAGTGATGAGTGAATCTGCAACCATGATCAGACTGAGAGAACCAAGTGATGAGTGAATCTGCAACCATGATCAGACTGAGAGAACCAAATGATGAGTGAATCTGCAACCATGATCAGACTGAGAGAACCAAGTGATGAGTGAATCTGCAACCATGATCAGACTGAGAGAACCAAGTGATGAGTGAATCAGCAACCATGATCAGACTGAGAGAACCAAGTGATGAGTGAATCTGCAACCATGATCAGACTGCGAGAACAGCAGTTTAAAAGAGGGTTTAGCCAGTCAGGAGCACTATGCAGGAAGCCAGATAAAAATAATAAACTAACACAGAGCTGCTTTTAGACACAACATGCTGTGGGGTTTTCTATGGATGGGATCCAAGCTCTTATAAACTCAATGGCTGGTTGATTTTGATTTGATTTGATTCAGGAACCGACATCACAGCACTCGGGGCATTCCCATAAGCACTCCGTCCCCATCTTCAGCAGCCAGCGAAGAGTTCCGATACTAATGGTGCCAGTAGCTTTCTGATTAAACGTCCGTCTTGCCTTTCCTCTGAGCCTTGAGCTTCTGCCAGAACCTCTCGTCACCCCCAACTGCATCAATCTCACCAAACTATGGTGATCCATCTGCTCCTATGTATTGTACACGCTCTCCCACAAGGCACTAACTACGTCTGCCCTATCATGTAGCAGTATTCCACCAAGTTGTGCAGAGCCAGCCAGTCTGTCCGCCTGTTCATTTCCCAACACATAGGCGTGACCCGGTGAGAAAATCCAGACAATACTCCTCACTCATGTCCTCCGCAGCGAAGCATGCCACTCTGCACGAAGCATACTTGTTCTGATCTTCCTCAGCATCCTTTCTGAATCAGTTACAATTACAATGTGTGTGTGTGTCGTGTTCTCTAGCCAGCGGAATGCTGCAGTGACCGCCTCCACCTCCATTCTAAAGCTGGATGTTGTGGTATCATATGCTAGGCTCTCCTGCACCAAACATCGACCATTAACTTTTGCTACAAAGCCCCAAGCACTTTTTTTGCCTCTTGACACTGAACCGTCTGTGTAAATGATCAAATCTTCTGAGCGAGCATTATCTTGAATTAATTGCTGAATTTCCACCTCTGTGGCACCTGCTGGCCAGTCTCTGCATTCCCGGCTCAACGTGATTATGATTCTACACAAGTCTGACTGCTCAAGTGACACTTTTACCCACTCCTCTCCTCGCCTAATGTTCTCAAGGATGCAAACCTGTCTGATTGTGTCTTCTGCCTGAGCCATCCATGACCTCCCTCTTTATCAGCCGCTGACCCTTAACTGCACCCAGAGCTTCATGCAGAGGGTGGTCTGTGTCTGCAGCTACCCTGAGATATGACTGGATGTGCAGTGAGGATGATCAGTCACCTAACAAACTCTTCTTCTTCTGTTGTTGTCTCACTGATAGCAAGTTGTAGCCCAGTGTCATGATTTTGTCGTCTCACTGATACCAGGTTGTAGCCCAGTGTCATGATTTTGTCGTCTCACTGATAGCAAGTTGTAGCCCAGGGTCATGGCTTTGTCATCTCACTGATAGCAGGTTGTAGCCTAGTGTCATGATTTTGTCATCTCACTGATAGCAGGTTGTAGCCCAGTGTCATTGTTTAGTCATCTCACTGATACCAGGTTGTAGCCCGGTGTCATGGTTTAGTCATCTCACTGATACCAGGTTGTAGCCCAGTGTCATGATTTTGTCATCTCACTGATAGCAGGTTGTAGCCCAGTGTCATGGTTTAGTCATCTCACTGATACCAGGTTGTAGCCCAGTGTCATGGTTTAGTCATCTCACTGATACCAGGTTGTAGCCCAGTGTCATGATTTTGTCATCTCACTGATAGCAAGTTGTAGCCCAGGGTCATGATTTTGTCATCTCACTGATAGCAGGTTGGAGCCCAGTGTCATGATTTTGTCATCTCACTGATAGCAAGTTGTAGCCCAGGGTCATGATTTTGTCATCTCACTGATAGCAGGTTGTAGCCCAGTGTCATGATTTTGTCATCTCACTGATAGCAAGTTGTAGCCCAGTGTCATGATTTTGTCATCTCACTGATAGCAAGTTGTAGCCTAGTGTCATGGTTTTGTCATCTCACTGATAGCAAGTTGTAGCCTAGTGTCATGGTTTTGTCGTCTCACTGATAGCAAGTTGTAGCCTAGTGTCATGGTTTTGTCATCTCACTGATAGCAAGTTGTAGCCTAGTGTCATGGTTTTGTCGTCTCACTGATAGCAGGTTGTAGCCTAGTGTCATGATTTTGTCATCTCACTGATAGCAGGTTGTAGCCTAGTGTCATGATTTTGTCATCTCACTGATAGCAAGTTGTAGCCTAGTGTCATGATTTTGTCATCTCACTGATAGCAGGTTGTAGCCTAGTGTCATGATTTTGTCATCTCACTGATAGCAGGTTGTAGCCTAGTGTCATGATTTTGTCATCTCACTGATAGCAGGTTGTAGCCTAGTGTCATGATTTTGTCATCTCACTGATAGCAGGTTGTAGCCTAGTGTCATGATTTTGTCATCTCACTGATAGCAGGTTGTAGCCTAGTGTCATGATTTTGTCATCTCACTGATACCAGGTTGTAGCCCGGTGTCATGGTTTAGTCATCTCACTGATACCAGGTTGTAGCCCGGTGTCATGATTTAGTCATCTCACTGATACCAGGTTGTAGCCCGGTGTCATGGTTTAGTCATCTCACTGATACCAGGTTGTAGCCCAGTGTCATGGCTTTGTCATCTCACTGATACCAGGTTGTAGCCCAGTGTCATGGTTTAGTCATCTCACTGATACCAGGTTGTAGCCCAGTGTCATGGTTTAGTCATCTCACTGATACCAGGTTGTAGCCCAGTGTCATAGTTTAGTCATCTCACTGATACCAGGTTGTAGCCCAGTGTCGTGGTTTAGTCATCTCACTGATACCAGGTTGTAGCCCAGTGTCATAGTTTAGTCATCTCACTGATACCAGGTTGTAGCCTAGTGTCATGATTTTGTCATCTCACTGATAGCAGGTTGTAGCCTAGTGTCATGATTTTGTCATCTCACTGATAGCAGGTTGTAGCCTAGTGTCATGATTTTGTCATCTCACTGATACCAGGTTGTAGCCCGGTGTCATGGTTTAG